GCTCATCATTGTTTTTGAGTTTGGCTCAAAATAACACAAAACATAATAAGCATCCATTATTAGCAAAGCTGTTGCTTCATAAACAAAATGACTAAATGATGCATCTGCTGTCTTCAGGTAAATGATGTGGAGTGTGTTTGCATATTGATCAGATGCTTCAGTGCTCTGAGAGTGTTTATAGTGCTGTGAGTTTAACACTTCATCACTGACACACACAACAATCTTCATCAACATGACCTTCATCATCATCTTCATCTGGACTCTCACAGCGTTTGCTCAAGGTTTGTGGAGCACAAGTTTGATATGAATTCATTTCTTCAAGTATATTGTCAGAGTTTTGAGTTGATTTTCTTCTTGTTGTGTGTTTCAGAGAGTAGAGGACAGATCAGCGTCACTCAGAGTCCCTCAACGACAGCAGCTCAACCAGAAGAAACAGTCAAAATCAACTGTAGAACCAGCGCAGATGTGTACAGATGGAGTGATGGGGATGATGCTTTATTCTGGTATTTACAGAAATCTGGAGAAACTCCTAAACTCCTGATTCGTTATGCAAAAAGCCTTGAGTCAGGAACTCCATCTAGATTCAGTGGCAGTGGATCTAACAGTGATTTCACTCTGACCATCAGTGGAGTCCAGACTGAAGATGCTGGACATTATTACTGTCAGAGTTTTCATTGCAGAACAAATTCTGATGGTGGCTGTGCGGGTGATCGTGTGTTCACACAGTGATTAAGAGTCGTACAAAAACCTCCGTCAGTCAGAGTCACAGTGACTGAACTGATGCTGCAGCTGCTCAAACACTATTACTGACACACAACAGGGCATTTTTATAAATATTGAATTAAATATAAAGCATTCATTTTAGTTTTTAACATGATAAATGCTTAAATCTACAACACTTTATCTTATTGAATTTGTCTACCATTTTATCTGTGAGGTTCATAATTTGGCCACATGTTTGTTTCCTCATGAACCTGCAGGTGTTTTCATGCTCCACTAAGTGAAGTTTATTTATAAAGTGTGAGCTAAAGACCTCAAACACAAGTGACACAAAAAGACTCAAAGACATAAAGCTACAATTTTATTTATTGACTGAATTGTAATAAAATCATGACTGACTGATAAAGCACACATATAGTCTTGTATGAAGCACACAAAGCAGAGCAGATGCAGATGCGAGCGACTGAAGCTGGATGTGGAGAATGAAGGAGTCGCTCATGTGCTGTTAGTCTCCATGTGAGACATGAGTGAGAAGAGCAGCAGATCTACTCTGAACACTGCTGTCTCGTCACGTGTCCAGTGAGCGCAGGCTGGCCGCTCCGTGTGGCCTCACAGCTCACTGAGACGCTCTCCATCCACTCCTGCTCAGAGAGAGTCAGGCTGCTGCTCCAGCTGTACAGACCGTCCTTCTCCAGGAGCCCAGCGCTGCTCTCCTGAGACCTGCTGCTCCCGTCCACCTTCCAGCTCAGGCTCCAGTCTGACGGGAAGCCCTTGCTGGCCACACACACCAGTGTCGCTGTCTTCTTTGAGGAGATCTCTGCACTGGAGGGCGGCAGGACGCTCACTTTAGGACGAGTGACGCCTGACAAACACACAACAGTCAACTCAGTGAAGAAGAAAGCATTTCCCTCCTTTCAAAAAGTTTTAAAAATATATGAAAAATAAATACAATGATAGCTTTTCTTGGCCATTTTAACAACATTAAACTGCAAGTCACCGGAATTAATTTTTATAAAGCTAGTAAACAGTAATGGAAGTTTGGTGAAATAGGGTATAACGGGTCAAAAGGTGTCTTTGATATTATTTTCCTCTAAACCACTAGATGGCAAAAAAACGTGGCGTAGCACTTTACAAAACATCCGCTTTTCAAGATGCACGTGTATATTTGGCTGATCCTTGACACAATCACCGGCAGCAGCGCAAAGTTGATTCTGTGCTTACTTGATCAATATGTTATGTTGTTTAACATGGCCGCTCCGTGTGGCCTCACAGCTCACTGAGACGCTCTCCATCCACTCCTGCTCAGAGAGAGTCAGGCTGCTGCTCCAGCTGTACAGACCGTCCTTCTCCAGGAGCCCAGCGCTGCTCTCCTGAGACCTGCTGCTCCCGTCCACCTTCCAGCTCAGGCTCCAGTCTGACGGGAAGCCCTTGCTGGCCACACACACCAGTGTCGCTGTCTTCTTTGAGGAGATCTCTGCACTGGAGGGCGGCAGGACGCTCACTTTAGGACGAGTGACGCCTGAGAGAAGCACAGAGAAATCAGAGTCACCAGTGTTTTCCTTTATGTGTTAAAGATAAAAATAGGAGAAATTCTCCAAGCAGAAGAACAAAATGAACAACATGCTCAATGAAGCAGATAAAACTGAAATAAAAAAATTCAATTAACACTGATGTTCACAAATTTCTTCACATGAAAAGAGAACATGAGAAAAAGGGAATTACAAAATGAATTAAAACGGAAATATCATTGAGTTTTGAACTGCCACAAAAACTTGTGGCTGTTGCATGTAAATTTAACATCTTTAAAACTCTCAAAGTAAGCAAAATATAATTTTATTAAACAAAAATGATCAAATGAATTTTTTGTTTAAGAAGCTGACGAAGATTTAAAATTAGGAAACAAACTTAAAAACTCACAAAAAAATAGTCATTGTGCATCAATTTTACAAACAATAACTTGTTTAAAAAAAGTCTAAAAGAAATAGCAAATTCAAAAATGTTTCTGCCTCAGAGTAAAAAAAAAGTAAATGTATGAAAAACTTAAAAAAATAAAATGCATCCTTTCTTAACATAGAAAGTCACAATTGTGGGATATTAAGATGCAATTACTTTTTTAAATGATAATTTATTGATTTACTTACTGCCAACATCCAGTTTGGTGCCGCTGCCGAAAGTCCACCACAGTGATAGAAACTAATAGAGCAGCTGAACAAAAACCTCCTGAACGCTTCACTAACTGCACAAACACACATCAACTGAGTCTCCAACAAACACATCCACTCACAGCAGACATTACCTTCAGTTACTTCATCTGCTTTATGCAGTCTGAATTATTACTAAAGCATGAAACTGAATTTATGAAAGAAGTTAACTTTTATATCATGTGTGACGCGACTCACAATCAAACTCAGTTGATTCAGTGATTGACAGAGACACGTGTGATGATCCTCATGTCTGTAAAAACCTGCAGCAACATCCATGGATTTGGCATAAAATTGAGGAATTAACAGTCATGTTTCTATCCAACTACAGTCAAAAATATTCTCAAAGTCTCACAGGAGAGAGTCAGGATAATAAACTAATGTTGGTCTTAAAGATGAATTCTAGAGTGAGTGATCTGATACAATTTGTAACAGCTTGGCTATTAGAAGATATAATATTATGAAAAAGATTCATTTTTATCTTATTTCAGTAATTGTATTTTGTGTCTGTTAATGAGCGACTGTCTTCAGGTAAATGATGTGGAGTGTGTTTGCATATTGATCAGATGCTTCAGTGCTCTGAGAGTGTTTATAGTGCTGTGAGTTTAACACTTCATCACTGACACACACAACAATCTTCATCAACATGACCTTCATCATCATCTTCATCTGGACTCTCACAGCGTTTGCTCAAGGTTTGTGGAGCACAAGTTTGATATGAATTCATTTCTTCAAGTATATTGTCAGAGTTTTGAGTTGATTTTCTTCTTGTTGTGTGTTTCAGAGAGTAGAGGACAGATCAGCGTCACTCAGAGTCCCTCAACGACAGCAGCTCAACCAGAAGAAACAGTGAAGATCAGCTGTAGAACCAGCACAGATGTGTACAGATGGAGTGATGGGGATGAAGGTTTATTCTGGAACTTACAGAAACCTG